TTGGCCACTATGCTGTTTTATTGTGTGGCTGCTCCAAATTACACTCCCATGTGCCAGACAGGAAACTTTAAGCCTGTTTCCAGGTCAGCCTCACTGTTCGGCTCAGTGGTTCTTTGTGGCCCACACACAGATTCGGGGTCAGCCAGCTTCGACAAGTACCAGTTTCAACAGCATACTGGAGGAACTCAGCACTAGCAGAGGGGGGCTTACAAATGGGAGAACATGTTCTCATTGCAACATGCAGAAATTGTGTTTACACTAGGTGTGCACAAAATAGTCTAGTTGTGAATTACCCATTAAACTACAACTAATTAAACAGTTTTAAAGAAATAGTTCACCCAAAAATGAAAAATCTGTCATCAATTTCTTACTCTCATGTCATTTCAAACCCTCCATAAGACCTTGTTCAACTTCAGGACAAATATGTTAAAAACACAGAAACTCCACTATGCTTGCTTCATGTGCAGCAATCAAATTTCGAAAATTCGAAAATGCACGAAACTCATAACGGTTTGAGACAACATGAGGGTGATTACATGTATTATTTTTTCACAAAAGGAATTATTCTTTTGTGAAAGCCATAATCAGGCTGATTTTGGGTTCATCTGAACCTAGTTGAACACATTTCTTGGGAGTGTTTATATTAGGGATGCACCGATATGAAAATTTTGGCCGATACCGATATGGTGGCCGATATATCGTGCATCCCTAGTTTATATAAGACATGTTCTTGTGAACAAAAACAGACACGAAGCAATGTAATGAAACGGAATAATTTTTTTTCCCTCCAACTTTCTAGCAGATAAAAAGTACCTCCACAAATAAAAGTCAAAATGTTAAAATGAAATTTTTGTAAGCAATCATCTTAAAAAAAAAAAAAGTTGTGCGCATATCAGTCCAAAGAGTGTTAGTAGACTGGCAGCAGCCAGAATCAAAATCTGGAAAGACTTAAGAAGAATTATAGCAAGCAAGTCTTTTCTGACATGTTCATAAAACTGTATGGTCATCGTATGGAAGATTTCAGAACTTTAGTTTTGGCGTAGCTGGAATGGAGCCTCATCAAACCCCCTCACTGTGGGAATATTACATCTGACGAAATTCCCACAGCATGTACTTTGTACAGCATAGAGGATCTATTTGTGGCTATAGAGTTTATCTAAGTGTCTTTGACAGAATATTGAAAATTTATAAAGAACTGATTAAATCCAGATCATAGTGCAAACCTAAAAGAGGCCATATATTTATATAATATCCATTAGAGAAAGTGAGCCTGCTCCACAGCTTTCACAGGTACTCATCCTTTGGTCTTGTTATAAATATCTCTGTGATATATCAGCTCAGTAGTGTCCCATTAAAGGATGGACGGAAGATTATTTGGATCCACACTTTACTATTGTATCCAAGATATTTCTGTCAGCATAAGTGCCATCCAGTCAATGTTAATATCTTTTGCTGTTTCATGTTAACTTTGATCATTTGTATTGATTTGTCCCCTTAAAACCAGATGTTTCACAATGTTTAACACAACCATCTGAGATCTTCAAATGATAAATATTTCAAATACGTTTATTTATTTTTTTGTGCACTAATTCTGATAGTGCTCATAGTAGGAATGTTCTCACACATTTATACTCATGAAATATATATGCTCTTCTGTGTCTTGTTTTCTCCATTTCAGACATTTCTGCTGATTCATGTCATCTATTCTGCTGTGTGTGTGTGGTTTAGTTGAGGCTAGTTAATCAATAAGCTAGCATTAGGACATCCCTGGAGAACATCAGAATAAGAGAGATGTTCATTCTTTTACTCTTAGCTCTCAAAAATCCATTATGTAGTATTAGTGCCAGTTTCTGTCCATTTTCCCTCTTTCTGTTGAGGTCTGCTGATGGGACCCGACAAACTGTCAGCGTTCAGCTCCATTTCTTGCATTGCTTTGGTTTTTAAACTTGTAGTGTATGTTACATTTTAAATAAGTTTAACACTATTATCTTGTTTACTTTATTTGCTATGTAAAACATTTTTTCGAAGTTGGAAATAAAACAAATATTACTGGAGTTCGTTTTAGAAGTGCAATTTCAGTCTTTCTACTTCCAAATTTCAAGTTTTATTTGATTCATTACTTGCAATTTCTTTGCAATTATTTGTGACATTTACTAGCAATTTCTTAGTGACAAATTGTTTTAAAGAAAATTCTACCCCATTTTTCCGTCGCATAACCATTTCATTTACAAGATCAAGTATAAAATCGCAGCTAGTACTTTTGATGGGAGGATCGGATAATTTTCCTGATTTAAATCTTTAAATCTCATTCAGCAAAATGAACAAATATTTATTCAAGTAATTGACTTGAAAGCAACACATCACTATTTAATACAAACATTAATGACCTTTGGATGACAGCAGCAGCAGACTAGCAGTGAAAACATCTGTGACATATACTGTATAAGAAGGCAGTTTTTACTTATAATTCTGTGTTTGTGTTCCCTTTGTGCTTTGATGCACGATCAAGAAATCTGTGAAACGGGTACAGACGGAAGAACTTTACTGTACTAATGCATTAACTTTGACTAACACATTCTTTTCTTTTTTAATTGAGATCTTGTGCATCTGGGTCTGTTTGACTGGAAAGGGAAGAAAGAAATGCAATTTTGGGTTAGTTTGAGCTTGTAATTTGACTGTGCCAGTCAGCATGGGACACAGTCTCAGTTTCAAGCTTCAACTTAATGCTGTGTAGTTTACTCTCTGTCCGTATACTGTATATGGACACTGTTCGGTCTGTCCACTCAGCAACAATAGCCAGTTCATGGTAAAATCTCTCTAGGGGTTTTCCTCTGACATCACCGCCACTGTTTTGGCTTCTGTTCTGTGCCCCCTCACTCCCCATTTCCTGTTCACGCAGGAAGTCTCTGCGTAGTCTTCCGCTGGGTTGTGCCCATGGTAGTAGGGTTGGGTATCGTTTTTTTTTTTTTTTTTCGATACCGGTGCCAAATCGATACTTATTAAAAAATAAATAAATAAAAATTCCCCCCAAAAATGATGGATTGGCCATTAGAATAGAAATAGTATAGAGAGTGCAAATGTTAGAGGGTCAAGTTTTTTAATTAAAAAAACAAGCAGATAAAATTAGAAGTAGCATTATAATAGAGAGTGCTAGAGTTAGAGATTCAAATGAAGATGAAAGAGATTTCTGTTTTCAGCCGTTTCTTGAAAATATTAAGGACTTGGATTGAGCTGGGCAGGTCATTCCACCAGGAGGGAACAGTTAATGTAGAAGTCCATGAAAGTTTTATCATAGGTAGAATGCAAAATGTTTCAATACAAGCATTTCAGTCAAATGTAATTTATGCAATATTTCAAACCTTTAACCCACTTGGGAAAATCAACCCATGGCAACAGTTTAAAAGTAGCCCAGTTCTGTGGAAAAAACGCAGACTTGGCAACTCTGCATCCAACAAGAGCTACCGGAGTCCGCTTTGACTGATCACAGGTCGAGAATAAGGAATTGACTGACAAGACCATGCTGGAGTATTTGCTGCTCAACAGATTCCTAGCTCATTCAAAATATTTGTTTGTTCAAAATGCCTGTTGGTTTTGATTAAAATAACCCTCTTTTTCTTTATACCTTCTGTGGGGTAGGCCTACGCGTTACAAGTAACATGAGTTATGTAATCAGATTACTTTTTTAAATAACTAGGAATGTAGCGTATTACTTTTTAATTTAGAAGGAAATATCTGAGTTACTTTTTCAAATAAGTAACGCCAGTTACTTTGTTCCAATGTCTTGACTGTAGGGATGCAGCAATTAACCGCGCTTTAAAACGTCACGGTTAATTAATCGTAAAGGTTCCGCTAAACCGAGTGTTTCTGTTACACAGAACCGAAATGTTGCAGCTTGCGCAAAACGAAAACAAAGTTACACTAGCGGTGCACCAGCTTAAAATGACGTGCTTATCAGAGGCACGGAGGCTACTACATGCATTAGATTAACTGTGACAGAGGGACCAAACAGCGAAGCTTTATTTCCACCAGAGAAATGCCTGTCGATAGTGTGGGACCATTTTGCGTACACCAAGAATGACCAGGGTGTCATTTAAATATTGCTGTAAAAAACTGCTGCTAAAGAGCGAATACATAAGGGATAATGCACGGCTTGCTGTACACTGAACGATTTTAATGCACGACGTGAAGGCAAAAACCCCCTGACGCGAAGCTACAGCTCGTTAGCTCAGCATTCTGCCCGCTTCAGATCAGAAAGAGATGAAATAGTGCGGTAAGATCACATTTATTTGAATTAATTAATTATAACATTTAGCTACTTGAATTAATTATTCGAGAGACAGAGAGAGAGGCGACAGTTGCCTGTGTGGATTAGCCTACTTGCGTCTAACCTAATTAGTTACTTTTTTAGGGAGCAATGCAATATTGTAATGCATTACTTTTAAAAGTAACTTTCCCCAACACTGGGAATAAGTGGCATGTGTTGGACTATTGAAATGATGGGGCAAATCCCCTGCTTTGAGTTTAAGGATTTTCAGTCCAATTTAAATTCAGGTTCCAGTTTCTTCTGATGCGTGCACACATTATCCGAGTTAAAGGCTTTTGAAACCGTTTTCCTTACAATTGTGACTATCAACCAATACTTTAATATTGATAATGTAATATATTAACATATTAATTAAAAACAAATCTCAGATTCCCAGTTTATGTGGGAAAAAGTGTATTTTGAGTAGGCTAGCTTTTACAGTATTTGTACCTACTGGCTGTTGATTACTTATTATGTGGTTTGATTGCTGTATACACTGTTCATTTTTATGTGTTTGTTTTGTTTTTTGTGATTTCAGTCCTGTCCAATGTTTTGGTATTGTACAATAGTCTTACCCTGCTTTTAACCCTTCAGTTAATATGATGGCATAGCAGTTGCACTCCTCACTCACTAGTGTTTACATTTTGTGATCTGATGCACACACAAGCTTATATTCCCTCTCTCCTTCCTTCTACAGGCACAAGTTAACTTCAGTTTGGACATTTTGAACTGAGTGAAAGAGAAAAAACACTATACCGAAGGTAGGCCATTCTTATACATCCAGACAAATGCTGGTGTGCCTTGTTATATACATTTTTGTCTACATGCACAATAACAGAAATAATGTGAAAAAATCTAATATTGCACAACAATGGTGTGTTTGACAAAAAGGAAAATGTTCTGTGGCGACTGAAATGTCTCGTTAAACATTTGCATGACAGATAATGTCTGCAGGAAGCTTGGTGACTGGTTTTTATTTCTGCCATCTTTTTATCCCCAAGCTAACAGGAAGACTGTCTCGACAAAGATGTCCATTGTGTACAATACATGTGTTTTCAGAATAACCATTGGAAGTGCAGAAATGTCTGAGACGAAGAAAGTATAGGAAGTGAGGTTGGAAAGAATGATGGAGATTTGGGAGACAGAGTGGGTGAATGTTTAGCATTCTGACACCACAGCTGGATTTTTGAGAATAATGCCAGGAATGAATGCAACCATTTGAAGCCTTAGAGGATCTAGACAGCTCAGTGTTTAACATGGTGAATGAACTGGAATGTCTCTGGAAATTAATTATTTTAAATTAGTTTGGAGTGTTTGTATGTGTATGTTTGCGTTTACTGTAAAGATTCATTTTAATGTTTCCCAGCTGCTAAAATGTAACCATGCCCTCTCTGAAGACTGAACTCCAGTCTTGACCCGCTTAAAATTGGATCCAAATAGGAAGTAAATTTTCACACTTGCATTAGACTGGCACCTGTGCTTACAACTGAAAAAGAGTTAAAATAAAGACATTTTCAAATGCACAATTTTTATTTTCTTAACCATTTATAAATGTGTCAAGGATATAACACTTTCTCTTTTTTTCTAAATAATTTATTCAAAAACACACACAAATCCGCAATTCATATTGACCTTTATATTTACATTTTCTATGGTGAGCATGGTTTTTATTTTCTGAATGAAAAAAATGTATGTTTTATATATATTATTTTATATAATTTTTTAAACCTTAAGCTATTAATTAATAATAATATCAATTAATTTAATTTAGTGTGACCAATAAGTCTATTAAAATATCAGATAATTCATTTTCACAAAATTTTTTGTTGTGTAACCAATACAAGCATAGTTTGGGAAAAATTAAACGCAGCCTAATTTAAATTTTTGGGTGAACTAACCCTTTAAGTGCCGGCGACGCAGTGTTGCCAGATATTGATACTAAAACAAACAAAAAATAAACCGAAATTATTTCCTATCTTTTGCAAATAAGATAAGATAAAGATATCGCTGACTCTAAACTGCAACTTCCTACTTTATTAACTTTCTAAAGTGCTAAATTAAGTGGAAAAGACAAGTCCAAAAACGCTTATAATCTATATAATTATAATAATGGCAAC